TGTAGCCCTCGTGCACGATTGTTTCGCACATCCATCCGTTCTCGTTTGCACATTTAATTACGTCATTAGGAAAATCTCCCTTTGGAATAGTCTTTTGTTTAAAAATGATCATCGGCTTTAGCTTGTCACCATTTGTGGCACACATATAAACGACGTTCTTTCATGCCCCGTTTTAATCGCAGATACAGTTTTTGCACCAGTTTCATCAACAGTTCTGTTTGCCGGAGAGTCGAAAGCTAACGGCGTTTCATCCATATTTATTATCAGTGACCGAAGAAGTTTTTTTTTTGTTTTGTTTTTTTGGTCAATAATATCTGTCACATATTTTAGAAAAGATGCCTTTTTATCCTGCCAGTCCATTGGTAATTGTTGCCCGACTGTTGTTCTAGTATGCACAGAAATATTTTTTCATAACTCTGCTACACCAGCAAGGCCCTCCTTTGAAATCATTTATGTTCATTTGTTTTGTTATAAATTTTGCTTGTAAGTGAATTTTTACGGTCGAAATTGCATTCCCTTTCCTTGTTGCTCCTTTATCCAGTTTGCAACGTCATCCTCTAGATTCGGCCACCATACAATACCACTTCTTTTAGCTCGTTTCTGTTGTGGCATATTTTTAAGAAGTTCCTTTTTCATTTCTCCAACGTTGAATACATCTTTCATCCACTTCAAAGTCTCGAGCTGCTGCTCTATTTCCAATTTGTTCAGCATGTGAAATTACATTACCAGCAGTATAGCTTCTGTGCCATTTAGGTGCCATTTTCAAAAATTTTCTACTGCCTTCTTACTTAAAAACTATCCAACAAGTACTTGTATCCAAACTGATTGGATCTGTATCTGGCAGCATGCCAAGAAAAATCGATTCATGTTGAAGGAGAAATGGTCAGAGTTCGTTTTTGCGAGGCAGGTGGAGTCCTGTCCCCCTTTGAAAAAAATTGCAGAAAAGGCAGGGGCGGGGAGAGGATGGGTCCCGGAAGATTCATCCAATGGCAGAGAAGAGAGACTATTCAAATTGATGAGAATGTTGATTTGAAAGAGGGAAGAATGTTATTGTTCTGAGATCCGGTTTAATGTGAATAAGGCATGTAGGTCCATTTAAGGGAAAGAATGTAAACAAAATGATGTTCGCAAAAAACAGCTGAGTGATCTTTTGTGTGGAAACAGCACCAGTCTATGTACAATGAAAAGGCCATCCAAATTATGTACAATGACCATCGTGGGAAATATTTTATTTTTAGTGCACCTAAAGCTGCATGGGTAGAAGGCCGCACATGCTGAAAATTTAACTTTTAAACACGTAAACGCCGCGCCGTTTCTTCTTACATTAGCGTTTGAGGTTGTTCCTATTTTTTCTTTTCTCTCAAGAAGCATCAAAATCAAGTGCTTGTGAAAGTTTGATTTAAAACTCTTGATGACCTCTTGGTCCATAGAGTAGATAATACTTGTAGAATTGGGTTGTAAGAATTCAGTCCTGATGTCTGCAATTTCAGTGATTTTGTGATGTGCTTTGCAATTATCAATTAAAGGGAGAATTTTATGTCTTTCCTTCCTCAGTTGCATGTCCATTTTGAAATTAATTTCATAAAAATGTTTAAAGTCGTCAGAGCTTTATTCCATGGTCATAATCAACAACTTTTTTTTATATATGCTTAAAAACACAGGGGTTTTTGGATTTAAGCAACAGTTTCTTTTTGTTAATGCTAGACGTATTACAACACAAAGTTATCAATTCAATTTTTGGAGAGTTGGCCTCTGATGTACTTTTCACCCATGAACTTAAGTCTGCTGTGGGGTTATGTTGTAGAAAATGCCTATTTCATTGGCATTGTCATTTTTTGGGTATTGTTCTCCGATGATTCGCCACTATTCACTCTTCCATATTGTGATATCTGCGATATCTGCCATGTTTGTAGACTTTGCTTCACCCTAAGTTTTTCCATGTCTATTTTTGAATAGATCAAGCCATTCATTCAAACACACAAATCCAAAATAGCCAAATTGTTCAGCAAATTTTTTTGCTTGAACTTTTAAAAATGGATAATTGGTAATTATGTGCTACATTGCACCTTCATCCACTTGAGCTTCATCTAAATCCTGTTTAGCACATTTCTTCAAATGTTGACAGTCATTCTTATTTTGGTCGAACGTAACTATTAATTTTCCCTTGTTCATTAATGGTGTTGAAACAGTAAAAGAAGGTAAATCGTATTTTTTGTGGATTTAAAAATTTTTTATGCGATCCTCTTTTGTAAAATCCTTACTTTTTCATGAACTGATAAAATTCTATGTTTCGACATCGCAAAATAAAATTTAACGAGCTGTACTTTATGAAATACAGATCAAAGAATGACCTCTACAGAATTCCTTTACCCTGCAACTCTTACACAGAGTATACTTCTGTCCAATCAGCAGCCTCCGTCCTTTTCGAAGATGTTATGGAATGTCCTCACACGTGCACTTCAAAAAGTGAAAAAGGCAGTCTTCACAAGTTCGTAGAATTTGACTCATCACTAACTTTTGGTTGACTTTGGAATATTAAAGAAGTTTCTCCAAGAAAGGATTAGCTGAGCTGGAGGGCTGGATGTCAATAGAAATTTTCTGAATCTCAAAAATATTGCTCACTGTAACTGGTGTTTGCTCATTAAAAGTGAGTTTTGCTCCCATAGACTTGACATTATATCAATCAAGTATTTACGGTTTCCTTATTAAATTTAGGTTCTTGTTACAAGTAAATTGTATGCTACTTAACAGGTAAATAAGAATGAATGCTTTCTTAACCCTGAAACTATAAAATCCAGCCCCTTTGTTGGAATCTCCCATCTGGTTGAGAACCCATGGTATATGCACACAGTGTAAGGCAAAATTTGCACATCATAAGTAAATAATATTTAGATAAAATAATTGAGCACAAAAGCTGCTATTTATATGGCGAATACAGCCAATCTCCAGTAAACTGAGACCAAGGAGAATAGAAGAAAATTATAAATAATCAAGAATTTGATTTGCTAAGGAAAGATGTTAATTTCAAGTTTTTTTTGGGGGGGAGGGGGGACATTGTTCCATACACAATGAAACATCAGTCCAAAATGGTGTATATATTTCGTTGAATATGCATGTTATAACTCTTTTTGGATGCTGTAAGTTTTGTAACTTACAAGGTATTTGTTTTACAAAATTCCTGAATCAGTGGATGCAAAGGCACATGATTATTAAAATTAATACGTGAAATATACTGTCACAATTTAAACTAGTAACTTTAAAATTTATTTAATAAGAATGTTCATGTATAAAATACATCTTTGATTATAAGATGTGTATTTAATAATGCATTCGTATAAATGTCTCTAAAAATAGTTACTTATAGCTCTTTCTCAAAATTTTCATGCACTTTAGACATAGCCTATACTATCAGTGGCCGAGACGGTATTTTATAAAAAGTGGAGGTAGCTTGAAAGTATCGGAATGGATGAATAGAACAGACTTTTTGTGTTTATTCACAAGGAAGCAATAGTTACATCAGTTCTTAAAAAGATTCTATGTAGTTGTAATGCAGAACTTTATATATAATGTAATATTATATTTCAGATACTGATTTTCTTAAGATGAAGTTTTGTTGCTGGTAAGGGTTATGTTGTATGCTAATAGCATCTCAGAATTAAAAGATTATTTGTTTATTAAGCTGAGGTGGATAATATCTATTATGATTCTGCTAATTAGTGAAGATTGTCCTTAAAGTACTATTGTATTTACAAAATTACCAATGTAGTCTTTTAATGTTCTTGCTAAATTTGAAGGCGAACTTTAATTCTGTAATTTATTTCTAATTTATAGATATATAAATAATATATAAGTTTATATATCTATAAATTAGAAATCATGGCTTGTGTATATATATATGTCATGATTTTACAATGCATAGATGAAGGCACTGGAACTTTTAACAGCTTTCGATATTGTGTAGATGGCTGAGAAGACCATAGTTACTGAAGGTACGGCTGAGTGGAAAAGAATGACAGATTTAGCATAACTGAGCTTGAAGAATCAGTCTTTATTTTTTACGCATGTCAAATCATTCTTTTGCAGATAAGATATTTCTTAATTATAGTTGAATACAATAAGTTCCATTTTAAAGTGCGACGTTATCTTGGGCAAATAAGCCGCAGCCTGGAAAAGCAGCATCTTGCTGGCAGGGAAGCATAAGTGAAAGAGAGCGCTGCAACATAGAGGAAGAAGGGATGGATTCAATAGTTTCAGTTAGAGTTGGAGAGAGTTTTGGTTTACAATTAATTTGATTGGACAAGAGGTATCTGCATTAAAACGTTACGTAACATAGAAAGATCTCGAACAGATGAATTTAGGGGGAGAGCACCAAATCTAAAATCGTTAAATTTTGAGGTCTCCAAAAATTTTTTAAAAGCAGCTGTTCTATTTTGTTATATCTTGCATATATATGCATTAAGTTTTTAAATATTAAAAAAATCTGAAAAATTTAATTTAAAATGAGGTAGAATATATCATTAATAGATGTACTATTCTGTAATCTTGTATTGTAAACAAAGTGTTGTTATGAGAATCGTTTGATAAGTTTAAGTAAACTTTTATGAGGTGGCATAGCAATTCATTTGGCAATATCATGGTTGGCAGCTCACTTTTTCAAAATAAACTTGAGCTAAATTTCATTTAGTAGTGACAATCTGCTTATGTTCTACAAACAATATTATGTCAATTGCAATTTGCTCATGTTCTAGAAACAATATTATATCAAAATAGAAATGAAAAAAAGCAGATTCTGTACTGTTATTGTAAAACACTGTTTTTAATTTAATAAAGCATGCGTTTAAAAATAGTTCTGTGCTACAGGACAGTTTTCGATCTAATTTATACTATGTCTTGTTTTTTATATTGTATCTAATTTGTTATACATACGTAATCCATCTTGCATGTAGAAAGTTCAGTGTTAATAAATATGTATTTATTCATAAGTAATTTTTCTTTTCCAGGATCAAATGAGGATGAAGATGATGAAAAATCTTCTGGTAAAAACTACTTTAGTTTTTTAATTTATATTCGAAAATGGTGATGTTATGAAACATTTTTTTCTAATCAAAATGTTATTTTTGACATTGGAAGAACTGGATTTGTTTTTATAATGCCTTTGTTTATCTAAGTGCATAAATGAAGGTGTTCTTGATCATTATATCTTAACAGACAACATTTGTATCATAATTTTGAACATTGCATAACTGTAATGTATTTAATAACAATTATTTTACTTTTGATTTTTAATGTATTTAATAACAATTATTTTACTTTTGGTTTTTTTTTTTTTTTTTTTAATTTTTTCTATACTCCGAGACTTGTTAAAACTATAGCTGCAGTGGAATAGATTTACTTTCTGTCCTGATATACATGCATTTTTATATATCACTCTTATCTAATTCTCAAATATTTACTGTTTTTTTATAATTACATGTTAAAAAAAAGTAATCTGGGTCTTTCTTTAACCGGGGCTTTGCAGCCTGCCTCAAGCACATCCACATCCACAGCATAAATTCCCTGCAGCAATAGTACACTACCTCCTTTACTCAATGCTGTTGACTATATTTACCTCTGTATATAATTCAGCATTAATATCTATATTTCCAATTTGTTTATCAACTGTCTATATGTTTAAATGATATGTTTAATCTGAGCTGCAGTTAACTTTGTACTTGTTACAGTTTTGCCTCTCCCTGATAACTTAAAGTGACTTGTGTGTTCAAGTCTTCTGCAAAACAATGTGTACTGCCATCTTTTAACAAGCTACATTTGGTCAGTCCATCAGTACCCATATCATGTTCATAGTCCTAGTATCTTCCGACAAGGTGGCATCTAAATTCCATATATCTAATTTCCCAGTCGGTATCCAGCTCAAGCATCGACTAGCCCTCAAGTCCTTAGAATTTTTGGAAATGATTTTTGGTCTCTAAAAGTCCTTAATTTCAATGAAAATTTCAAAACGGTCCTTTTATTATTATTATTATTATTATTATTATTTGGCATTTCCATTTTCTTTTCCGTGATTGCCATTCAGTGTGAGAATTAATATTTTAGATGAATATAGAATTCAAACCATGTAGCATTTAATAAAACCCTTACAAATTGATGTTGTGAACAGTAAGAAATGATTGGCTACCCTGGAACGAAAGTTTTGAAATTTCTGGTTGCTTTTTTGTGCAGTCTTTAAAAATAAGTGTTATGAACAAACTACCATCTTATTTGGGGACTTGTGTATTGATGCAGCCTACTTGGTGCAATTTGGCAATTTTTTACAGGCAGAAAAGAAAGTTACATATTGGGCGCAGTGTTGGTTTTGTGCCTTTTTTGGGAAGATTCTCAAATATTGTTATTTATCACTCAGTAAACATTATCAACTTATGAAAAGAAAATATACTTTAGGAATTTAAAAACAATAATTTAATTATTAAATAAAGATGATGTGATATGTTAAAAAAATAAAACTCTTGCGTTCTCTAAATCTTTCGTAATTGTTTCGACATTTCTTCCAAAGTACACGGAGATCTGTTCTCACTTGAAAACATCAAAACAGAGAATTGAAAAAAGGGAAGGCTATTCTGAAAAAAATCTGCTAGACCTATTAAAATGGTCTAAGTCTGGAGAGAGCCACTTATTTATGGGTAAAGTTTATCTACTTCAGTGCTGCAAAACCATCTAGAGACCATTCGAATAAAAATAGTAAATCAATACAATAAAATAAAAAAAAGGATTGATGATGATGATGGCTAACTGACATAATTTTTCTGCGAGATTATAGCATCTAGCAAAATTTAAAGCTAATTTTGAGACATTTTTTATAGTTTTTCGAAAAATGCACTAGTTGTAAGATCTTATATGCGGAATTATTGTTATATATATATATATATTTTAAAGCTGCTAAAATTTTTGCCAGTTTGGTGATTTGTCATGAGATTTGTATTTAAAGTGGGTACTCTGCCAAAATCATTTAACCATTTAAATTGTTCTTGCGTTATGCAAAAAACCAATCTTTCCCTTTTTACTTCCTTGTACGAGTAAAGGAAGTATTGTAATTGCGAAAAATTTCGGGTATCATATTTCAGAGAAAATATCCAATTTTACTGATATCGAATGAAATTTAACGATGTTTCTGCATAACATCTGTAACGTAAGGACAAGAATAAAGGACTCTTTTTCTCCAAACGAATTATAAAACTGATTAAAAATGTTTTTAAAAACAATGTTTTCGTGGCGTCTGTACATATGTATGTATGTGTTTCGCATAACTCAAAAATGACCAGTCTCAGAACGTTGAAATTTTGTATATGGGACTGGTATAACATGTAGTTGGGTTAGGTTAGGTTATTTTGGTTGCAATTGGCCGCACCAAACGTATATAAATTATTTATATATATATCCACTCTGTTACTTGGTCGGTGATCTCAGTTTCTTTACTCGTATATGTTTGTTAATTGTACATTTTTTGCTTTAAAAATGATTGAATTATGTTGTTTTTATCTTCCGGTTAAGGTTTTTTGCCTTAGTAAATCTGTAGCAATATTTTTAGAATTATCAACAATTTTAAAGTGTTAAGTGCCGCTAAGCCTTTTTTTTATGGTGGCCATTATGTTATATTTGAAACGCAGATAGTGGATTTGTTGCCAATCTAGAGAACTTAGTTCGCAACAAGATAAACCTTTTATATTTATTGCCAATTATCATGAAGTCTTTTCGGAATTTTTTCGAGAAAATATAAGTGTTTAAGGTTTACTTCGTAATTTTTAATATAGATATTTTTGCCTTCTCGCGAAGTGAGAACTGAATTATTGAATGAGAAATACTCAATCATCTGTAAAAAAAAACTTTTTTTTTTTGTTTTGTTTGCTTAATTTTTTATAGATCATCTAGCTTGATTATATATTTGAATAGAACATATGGCAAGATTAAAATTCTATTCTTTAAATGATATAAATTTGTGTGCATTATGAGTAATAATATAAACGAATATAACACTGTTAAGTGAATCTAGTGCCAGAGTGTCCTATGGTAAACAATACTGAGGAATTTTAAAGAATGCATTTTATTCTATTGTGGGTTTATGTGCTGTGACGAAGTAGTTAATTCAATCCAATAAGTTTAAATGAAATGCAAGAAAAAATGCGTATAATTTAGTATTCCGTACAAGGAAGTCGTGTGGTGTACACGTCAGATTTTTTGTTATAGTACGAGTTTCTTTGTTATGTATTGCCAAGTTTAGCAATTAATCAAGATTTTGGGCGATTTTAAGATCAATTTGTTTACAAAAAACTTTAATTTGGTGGTTTGAGATTTAACGATGATTATTTTTAAAAATATAAGAATGTTATTTCAATATTGTAAAAATAAAAAGCATAATAAAAATTTTGTTTTTTGAAAAATATTAAATTATTTTATTTTCATTTGCTGTGTTTTAAAATGTCTTTGTTTTTCATTGTCACAATTTTCAAATATTTTGATTCTGAAATTTAAATAAGATGATAAATGTTGTAAAGCAGAGTTTCTGAATTGCTTTTTAGAAGAAGCAAGAATGCTAGTGTATCTATGCACAACTGAATTTTATTTATCTAATCTTTTCCTGTATAATTCTTTCAAAATATTTAGATACATGTTGATTTTTCTCTGTAAAACTCATTATCACCAACTTGGAAGGCATTTTAATGGTTAATAAGCACAGGAAAAGCTCATGACAAATAGAAAATGTGTTACTGGTATAAAAACAAAATAGACTGTTTTCTGTAAGATTATAATTAACTACTCATAGTTATTAGAAATTTTTCAGTAAAAGCAGTGAATATTAAAATTATCGGAATTTTCTAGAGTAGTGCTTTACTTTTTTCCAGCTTCCATTATTTGTACAGCATCGAGAGCTCTCATTCCGAACTGTGACAAAGCAGCCACGCTACTCAGAAATCTTCTCGTATGAGAGAACTGTGACTGTGGTTAAGACTGACGATCGTTTGGCCATGATTTTCCAAGAGCTCTGATTTGCTGTGTTAGTGCAATTTACTAACAAAGAAGTCTCATGGCGCCTTTTAAATAACAGCCCATAATTATAAGGAAATATTTTTGATACCAAATGTCCTTCTCTTGATCCAGTTTTATTTTCCTTACTTTTGCGATTTTGCCGTATACAAAAGAATAGAAAATTGTACAAATGATTTTGATCTTGTCCTATAGACGGGTGGTAAAGCCGCTGAACACTGGTAGTTCGGTCCGAGGTTTGAATGTTTGAATGCCACGAACGGGCTGGCTGCATGGGCATTTTCGTTGTTTTCCCCATGTGTAACGCGTATACGAGCCAGTGTCCTTTAAAAAGTCCTCCGCGAAGCTATCCCTCCCCTTAGGCAGATAGACCTAGTGTGCTTTGCCATAATTAAATAAACCAAACCTATAGACGGGCATTTGTTGAAAGGAATTTTCCTTTTAGAAAAGATATTGAAAATCGACAATTTAAGATTTATCTTGTATATCTGAATGTGCAGTATATCATTTCATAACGTTTTCTGAAGTTATTCACAACAACAAAATTATTAAAGAAGTAAGATTAGCAACCTCATCTGAATGGGCTAGATACATGCAGTTTTTAGGCTTAGAAAAATTTTAATTAAATCCCGAAATTCAAAGATAAACAGAAATCGAGGAAAAAATTCATTGCTTAGCAAAAGAAAATTTTCTTCAAATGGATATTGGTAAAGATATTTTAGAAACTAGTAAGATTCAGAAACTACTTGAAACATTGATTCATATATTGGAGTTACGAGCTCGGAAAATTATATAATTTTCTGTTATTGGCGTTATTAACTTGGAACACATATATTGGGATAAATGAACTCAGAAAAGTAAATGTACCTGTGTGATTATTGAAATTGAAGAAAGTGTGTAAACTAAAAACATAACTGTTGTAAAAGAGTGAATAGAATTATATGGAGGCATTGAAAGGAATCTGGCTGTTTTTTCAATGTTTGGTGAGGAAAGAATAAAA